AATGAGGGTGATAAGGTAGAAAAGAAGTGGCGTATTTGAAGGTAAATATATAGGTGTTGAGAAGGTAGAAGAGATTTTTTCTGGAGATCTGGGAATGAGTGTGACTTACGAGTCACCGGGTGTACCAAGTGACGCAATTGAAAAAAGGTTAGCTGCTACCCAAAGAGACATCCGGGACATGGCCATATTATCTGGAAGATTAGGGTTATGGAGAATATTTGTCAGTGGGGAGCAATCAGAGGCCAGTGTAAATTTAGCCTTACATTTCCGCCAAACAGCCAGAGAAAAGTGCATGGGACCAAGGAATAAGTGGCGAAAAGAAGAGACATCCACTGTTGAGGTCGACCAAAGGAGGGAGCATGGATGAGCCGGAGACAATTGTAAAGATTCAATCTGAGCCCACGTGTTGGGAGGATAGTGAGTAGACCATGACATGAGAAAACGAAGATGAGTTGCATAGTAGTATGTTATTATATCCGGTACCCCAAGCCCCCCTAGAATGCGGAGAAAGCAAAACAGAACGTGCAATCCTGTGCCGCTTGTTGTGCCAAATAAAATGCAGGAAAGATTTCTGGAGGGAGTGAAGTTTGGACATAGGAACGGGAACGGGGAGAGTCGCAAACAGGTATAACAGTTTGGTTAACACGGTCATTTTTAGTACATTAATGCGTCCGAGAAAAGAAATGGGCAGGGCATCCCAGTGTTTCAGAGAACGAGAAATTGCTATAAATAATGGGGGAAATTGGCCTCGTATATGGATTGGTAAGAGGAAGTCAGATTAGTACCTAAATATTTTAAAGAGTGGGTGCACCACCGGTAGGGAAAGGCTTCCTGAAGCGAGGATAAAACGCCAGAAGGGACATGTATCGGAAGTGCCTCAGTTTTAGACGTGTTAACTTTGTAGCCAGATATGGCCCCAAATTGTTTCAAGGTCTTATGCAAAATCGGTAGGGAGGTATGAGGACTCGCAAGCGTGAGGAGGATGTCATCAGCAAACAGCGATAATTTGTATTCATGGTTATGGGATCGTATCCCGCGAATATCCGGATTCGACCTTATGGCGATGGCTAATGGTTCCAGACAAAGAATGAACAGTAAAGGAGAGAGTGGGCAACCCTGACGTGTACCATTTGACATCTGAAAGGGGAGTGAAAAAAAAGAGGCTAATCTGACCTGCGAAAAGGGGGAAGAATAAAGGGCCTTCAAGGCTGCTACAAATGGACCCCTGAAACCATATCTTTCCAAGACCATGAACATGTAAGGCCAACTTAAACGGTCAAAAGCTTTTTTGAGCATCTAAACTTAATAATATAGCGGGGGTGGAGGATCGGTTAATCAAGTCAACCAGATCAATGGATCGCCTGGTGTTATCTGCAGCGTGTCTGGCAGGTACAAAGCCCACTTGGTCCCTGTGTATGAGTTTGGAAATAATTCCAGACAGTCGGTTGGCCAAGATTTTAGTGAAAATCTTGTAATCGGAGTTAAGTAGGGCAATGGGGCGGTAGTTGTCTACTATAGAGTGATCTTTATCGGGTTTGGGGATAACCGAGATATATGCTCGGGAGAATTCAGTCTGGGGTGTGACCCCCTTGAAAAGATCTCGATAAAAGGAGAGGAGATGAGGAGCCAGGATACCAATAAAAGATTTATAGTAGGAGTAGGGCAATCCGTCCGGTCCTGGGGCTTTACGAGAGGGAAGATGTTTAATTGTGTCAAACAATTCCTCTGGCGTAATATCAGCGTTAAGGGTGGCAATGTCTGAGGGTGAAAGACTCGGAAGTGACAGGGGGTCAAAAAAATTATCAAAGATAACTGTGTGAGGGGCGGGTGAAGGTCTGGGTCAAACAGTTATAAAAGATTCTTATAGTATGAGCCAAAAAGGGATGCCATGACCTGAGGATCATAGGTAGGGCTTCCATTTGGTTGGATTAAAAGATCAGGCATCGTGGAAGGAGACTGAGCTTTGAGTCGATTGACTAACATACGATGAGGTTTGTTGGAAAATTTGTAAAATTTTTGCTTAACCCATAAGAGGGATTGCGCAGACTTACTAGAGTCAAGAGTTTTAATGCGGTCACGTAGAGATGTTACCTTCGGAGCCCAGAAAATGGACGGCTTGGCCAACAACTGTCGTTCTGCCAAAGATAGTTGATGGATGAGAGAAGCCCTAGCACTCTCTGAAGATTTTTTTAAACGAGAACCCATAGAAATACAGAGTCCTCGAAATACCGCCTTATGAGCCTCCCATAGGGTTGAGGAAGAAGCTACGGAGCCAACATTGTGGGTGAAATAGGTATCAAGTCCCTGTGACAGTTCATCCCTAAGATGTTCTGTAGAAAGAAAGGTCTCATTAAGGCGCCAATGACATGGTTTGGGTATAATAGGAGGGAAAAAAAAGGTTTAAAGTCAGAGAGGCATGGTCAGACCAGGTAATGGGGTTGATTTCAGAGACGACCAGGAGTGGAAGAAGTGGGGCAGAGATAAAAAAATGATCTAGGCGGGAAAAACTACGGTGAGGGGTGGAGTAGAAAGTAAATTGTTTATGGAGGGGGTGTTTTAATCCGCCAGGCATCAGACGATGCTCCCTTATCAGTCTACGGAAAGATTTTGAAGAGGAGCATTGCCGCTTCGAGGGTGTGGACTCGAAAAGAACTTTCCTGTCTTTATGGGGGGGGAAAAAACCAAGTTGAAATCGCCCCCAACAATCACATGCGAAATGGGAAAGGAATCTAAGTTGGCGAGTGTTTGTGAAAGAAATTGCAATTGACCCGAATTTGGGGCGTATAGATTCAACAAAACAAGGGGAGTGTCACCAAGCATACATTCCAAAATAATAAAGCGACCCTGTTGGTCAACTCTGGAGGAAACAACCCGAAGGGAGCAGTGAGACCTAATCAAAATTGCCACCCCAGCCTTTCCGGAAGGATCAAAGGCCGAATAGGCTTGAGAAAAAAATTCTCGAGGCAAAACGGAAAGAGCCAGTTGATTTGAAATGGGTCTCCTGGACAAAAATAATGTCTGCTCCTGAGGATCGAAATTCCCGCAAAGCCATCCAACGTTTTTGAATGGAATTGAGACCCTTGACATTATATGACAAAAACCTCAAGCCATTATAAAATAATAATAAATTAAGCACATGTATTAGCATGAGAAATGCATAATATACCATCGATGTAAAAAAATGGAGAACAAAAAACATTAAAACTAACACAAGAAAGAACAAAACATAAGTATCCGCAAGGATATAAACTTGGGAGCAACAATTTGGCCCAAGTCATCTAGGCCTATGGCTAGACAAAATCGGGAGCAACACGACAACCAAGACATCAGGGAGATCGCCAAACCCGGCCAGAAAAAACAAAAGTGAAAAAAAAACAAAAAAAAAAAAACAAAACACCCAACAATGGTTCGGCCGGCCAGAAATGAAAAACCTGTGGAAAAAAAAATGTATAAACCAGGAGGGAAGGATCGGCATCGAAGTCACTTCGGAGAAGCACCCCAGGGAGTCATCAGACAGGCGGATCAGTTGTCCGAGGATGTCGTGGACGTTGTGGGTACGTGAGAGCCTCTTCCGGCCTCTGTGGACTGGAGTCCAGATCTTGTTGGGGGTGGCAGATGGACGGACTGGAGTGGGTGGCAGAGGGGTCATGTCATCTGACAAAGGTGGAAGTCCCGGGCGCTTAAAAAAAGAATCCGCCTCATGAAGATCACGGAGCACAACTTGAGTATTGTCCCTAGTTACGATCAGCCTGAAGGGGAACCCCCACCGATAAAGGACACAGTGTTGCTGGAGGTGTGAGGTGATCGGCTTCAGAGCTCGCCGCTTGGCCAGGGTAATCGGGGACAGATCGCAGAAGAGTTGGAGTCTGTCACCTTTAAATTCCAGAGATGGCTTGTGGCGAACTGCTGATAATAAGGCTTCCTTGCTTTGAAAAAAATGGAAGCGAACTATGACGTCGCGAGGTCCGGTGCCTTCAACAGGTTTTGGGCCCAAGGAGCGATGAGCCCTGTCCATACGCCAATCAGCTTCTGGAACCAAGGGAGCAGTTGCGGTGAAAAAGGATAATAGGTGACGGTGTGTAGTTGTGCATCATCAATAGATTCGGACATACCGCGTATACGGATATTTTGGCGCCGTTTCCCTGTTTTCCAAATCCTCTTGTTGGAGCTGCATTTGGGACATGGAATGTTTCAAATACGCGTTGTCCTCTTCCAGAACATGAACGTATTGCACCAAATCATCAAACTCAGTTCCAATTTATCCGTGCGGTCACCAATCTGCGCTATTTCCCCTCTGAGATCCAACGCCAGTTTTCCAATTTCAGTGGAAATGGATGCGGTGATATTGCGTAAGAATATTTGCAATTTATCATCTAGCGCTGAAATTGTGAGAGAAGATGATGTGACAGCCTGCTGGGAAATCTGGGTGGAGGGGTGTTGATTGCCTGAGGCAGGATGAACTATTGCCCCCCCAGTTTATTCTGGGGATCAGGATCCTCCATCTGGGGCTGGATCAGGGCAGAGGCAGTCAGAGGAGCTGTAATGCTTGAGGGTGCAGTACCCTCTGTGACCACCGGGAGTCCGGGATCGTTCCCTGGGTTCCTGGACATGCCAGAGGCCGGGGATTGCGGCCTGGATAAGAACCGCCGAAGCGGCTTCCAGCGCCCTATCTTCCCCATAAAGGGCTCGTTCTGGTGCCGTGCCAGGTGCAGAGGGTGTATGACTCACCCGGAGCTGAAGGAAGGCAGTGGCGCGTGACGGGTGAGTCCGTGCTGGCCGGGGATGAGCGGAGCTCAGGGATTACACAGCCGCCATCGTCCCTGGTCGCGCATGCGCTGCCAGAGGGCACATTTTGACAGCAGTACTGTCAGTCTGGGGAGGAGGGGACTGTTCGATGCACTAGCAGATTTAAATACACTAAAAAAGTGAAGCCAAACTCCAGCTAGCACTTTATAAGAAGTTACACCAAAAACAAATAAACAGAATTGAGCATTGTAAGCACCAGGGGCGGACTGACCATTTGGAAACTCGGGCAATGCCTGAGGGCCCAGGGTCAGTAGGGAGCCCCATGAGATGCCCCTGGTACCTTTTTCATAGGCTTTTTTGAGTTTGGGCAAGTACACAGGGGCCCCATGATCCCCCTATTGCCCGGGGGCCCCATGAGTTGTCAGTCTGCCCCTGGTAATTACCCATGTCAGTGGTGAATGGTTTGTCTCATCCCTCTAACTGATAGAATCTGCAAGAGCTTTTTCTTTTGAAAAACAACAGACTTGTTGGCTTGTTCACCAGAAGCAAATAGAAGAAAGAAAACCTAAAAAAGAAAATGAATGCAGGCATCACACCTAAGAATTGGTAAGCTGTAATATAATAAATGTTTGCGTTTGGGTTTAATAGTGCTTTAAGTTAACTATGCACCACTTAAAGCTCAACTCCAGACAAAATGTTTTTTGGGCGGGGGAAGGGCTTGTGTGTTCATATGCAGAAATAAATGAAGATGTACTCTTTGTGGCACTGTTCACTAATAAAATTGATTGGCGACTTTTACGTCTGCAGACATAGTTGATTATAGTTCCCGGGTATCCTTCTCTAGGATTGCACTTCCCATCAATGGAGGATATAATAGAGGTAGTTCTGCAAAGGCAACTGTGCATGATCTTTGCAGACTTACTGAGAGAAATTACTCTAGCCAAAATGTTTCTCCAGGACTCAAGAGTTTGCTACTTTCCTGGTTCGAAATCATGGACTGAAGCGACCAGATTCCCAAAATAAAATCTAGGTGCACCAATTTATACCCACACCTTCTGTTAACCACACTCACATTATCATGCCCAAATTTTTAACACACCTTCAAAAAAAATAGTCACAAACCTTTGGAACAAGAGGGCAGGCATTCAAAGTATAAAGACAAAATAAGCAGTTGTCAAACAGGAATCACCAAGATATGCAAGATATGCAGCATAGTTAGGAGGGACACCTTGAATGCATCAAGAAGCAAAATACCTGCCCAACACTTGGAGGCATGGGCAGAAAGGCTGGTGACACTTTGTAATTTGGGTGTTAAAGGCCCATGATTTGTATCAGTGATAGCAACCTCCTTGATTGGTGGTCAGTGTTTGAAGTGTTAAACTCCCAGTACCGGTGGTCAGTAGGCTGTAATATATATCCCGCTATGGTCAGTGGCAATCTGTAGTAATATCCCCCAAAATAAGTTTTCAGTGGTAGGCCCAAACCGTACTAATAACCCCCTGCCTAACAATGGTGGCCAGGGATAGACTAAGGCTTGAATAACCCTCCAGCATCAGTGTTCAGTGGCATGCTCAGGCTATAATAATCCCCCAACATCGATGGTCAGTGGCAGGATTAGGTTATATTAACCCCCCGGCATCAGTGGTCAGTGGCAAGATCAGGCTATAATAAACTTCCCCTCAGAATCAATGATCTGTGACAGGCTTAGGCTGTAATAGGCCCCTACCCTCAACACTGGTGGTCAGTGGCAGGCTCAGGCAAAGCTGAAACCCTTAAAATTGAGCATGTGATTAGGAAGGCACTTCCCTTTTTCCCTCTTCCACTCTTTCTACCACTCCTCATCCTGGCACTGCTTGCCAGAACACATGTATCTTCATCCTATTGCATCTCCTTCACCTCCTCACCTCCCATCTGGACAAGCTGGGAAGTGGATCATTCTACATCCCACTCATCCTACTCCAGTAGATTACCAGCTTCGGGACAGGGACACTATTCTTTAAATTGGGAAATAATAAGGCACACTTTTTACCAGAGAATATCCTTCTGAACTCAGGAGTGTTCCCTGAAACTGGGGACCTCTAGTCGCCCTATCATGGGCACTCATCATTGCTAGAGGGACTGTAATGATCAGATGCAGTATAACTAGTTACTAACCACCCATATACAGATGTTTATTTATGGGGGGGGGGGGCTTGCTATGGATTTTACTGTATGTGAATGATGATTAAAACCTAATAAGTTATAAATAGAGTTTTCCAAAGAGCCCCTTTTTTACTTGTGTGACTGTTTCTTCCTGTACTGTACCACTTTGGTTTGTTTATGAGTCTAAAACAGCCTACTAAGATTAAGGACTATATGTGTTTTGGACTACAATTAAAGCTGAATTGAGCAACAATGGTAGTGCAGGCTATTGCTGGAAAGTGAGGAGTCAAGAAGTTAAAACACAAATACCTCAATACTCATTTCATAAATGGCTGTAGTACTTGTGTAGTATGTTCAGCTAAGTAGTAGCAAGGTATTTAGGGACCACTAAGATTCAGTTTCCTAAGTTCTAAATGCATGTATAGCCTAAATTCTTTTATCTAGTCTTGGATGGAGTATTGGGGTTGGAAGGGGCAAAGTCTCTTGTACCCTCCACTAGTGAGATTTACCATCTCTAATTGTCTGATTGACCATTATCACAGATACAGAAAGTGTTGGAAAATGCATAGTTTACATTTGACACCGGAAAAGGAGGTGAGGTAAATCGTCCAATGGGGAGACCTGTTCAAGTGACAGCTGCCTAAAAGGGTGATTTCCTTTTCCTGTTCAACACAGAAGAACCCTTAAAATAATCTTCTGGTCTCATGAAACCCCCACTAAATATAACTGTATCTACAACACACATAATATATTAGTGTGATGGTCAGTGGGAAGAATGCTCCTCACATTTGTGGTCATTAGAAAAAATTGCTCCCTTACAGATAGCTAAAAAGATCAGTGGTGTCAGTGGGAATTTATTGGAGAGGCAGAAATTGCTCATTACTCTAGGAACCCCTAGCAGCCTCTGGAGGAACCCTTCATGAGAAACCCTGTTTTGGATAGTTTTTGCACCACCAGGACAGGAAGTGAAGGGAAATCTCCTCAACAGGAAACACAAAAAGGTGTTTGCAAGCATCCCTACTCTACCCAAACATAAAAAGAAAAGCTTTGGCTATTCATATGCTTTGATTTCTCTGCCCACCCTCTGAAGTTATATGTATATACTAATCTAGCCAATCTCTGTTGATGTTTTATAAATAGTTTGCTAAAAAAGCTAATAAATATTAGATGTTTGGTCCAAGAGCTCCATCAGCTTTGGTGGTGAAGGATTCCTCTGTGCCCACCAGGACATGAATGAAAACAAACATAAAAAATGTAGTGGGTGTTTCTCAAATTTGATTGCAAAGGAGTGAGGATCTTCACCCTGGAAATAAACATTTAAAAGGCAGCAGCTACAAATACTGTAACTTCTAACATTTAAAAAACACACTTACCTGCCCAGGGATCCAGCACTGTCCTCATACGGGTTCCCAGCGCCACCATGTTAACTGTGGTAAGCCAGCTGTGACTCAATGTGGCTTCCCACTGCCCATGCATGAGCCATGTTGCACTTTGTAATTTGTCCCATTCTAGGACCTGTGACATATCCCTGAAGGCTGTGGGCAAAGAGGAAGGGGGGCAAACTTCTGCTCCAATCGCTTAGGCTGTTGGAGCAGACATGGGAGAGGGTACCTCTCAACACTAGGTACCAACTCAATCCCCCCAAAAAATATTTCAAACATCGCAGAGTAAGGAGGAAGGAAAAGAAAACTTCCCTTTTGGGTGAAGATCCACTTGAAATGAAAATCCTCTGCAATTCCTTAGTTATGAAAGCAGGTATAAATCTCTCATTGTGACTTGCAGCTTCATGGTGAAGGACTGACGGGGTTCTAGGGTGTGCATACCTTATGTACGGGGAACTGGAACTATACCATCTAAAATTCTTCTTAAACTGGGAGGAAGGGGTGTTGCAAGCCTATGTTTTTTCACTTAACTATTCGCCTAAGCCTAATTATAGAGATCCTCAGACCATGGCTTGTACCTTGGCAGTACTTTAAAACTGAAGCTGAGTAGCCATGGCTTTAGAGGGAATAGTTATTATGAATTCCTGAAATGTGTTTTAGAGGAAGCTCTTTAGTTTCCGGGCAGTGATTGTTATGAAGAAAATAAATGGATTTGGTTGCAAGCACAGCTTGAATGAGACATTTATTTTGATTGAAAGTGAAATTCGGTACAACTACATACATTCATGCTGGACAGGAGATTGCTGATGCTGACAAGAAGGATGCTGTGTGACACTGGTGGCAGCGGTGGGACACACATGCCTTGTGGCAGTAAGAGACAGTACATTAGCTGATGGCTTCTTTGAAGTAGGCTATAATCTGTCACCAGAATGAAACTTGGCATACATAAATCATAATGAAATGAATGGAAGATGTAGCTTTTTATCTAGAGAAAAAATAATACCATGGAATGAATAAGTAGGAGTGAAGGGATCCGTCATGCAAGCTTGCCGCTGTTATTCGAAATAATGAGAGCTACCGAAAGGATTATATTTGTATCTTAAAAATTAAGCTAAAAAGTAAAGTTTGATTTTATTTTAATTAGGAACTCCAGGCAGTATGTAAATCCAACTAGTAAGCTGCCAGCAAGGTCCTGGAAATGTTACAGCTGTCTATTCATTGTTCCTCTGAAACTCAACTCCAGTTAGAACCTTTTCATTAGTTTTGAATAGCATGGAGAAAAAGTTAGAACCAATATCAGGTTTATATTGCTGGGGATATAAGTGAAAAAGAGGGCCACACCAAAGGTGCTTGAGTCCAAAATCTTTTATTTCATTGTTGAGTTCTAAAATTACAAGCCAATGTGTTTCAGAGGCCAATATTGCACCTCCTTCATAATGGCTAAAATATTAACTATGTATATGTATACAGTATACTATAAGTGTATACAGTTGTGCTCAAAAGTTTGCACACCCTGGCAGAAATCATGAAAATATGTATATGTTTATTTAAGGACAGTGATCATCAGGGGCGGACTGACAACTCATGGGGCCCCCGGGCAATAGGGGATCATGGGACCCCTGTGTCCTTGCCCAAACTCAAAAAAGCCTATGAAAAAGGTACCAGGGGCATCTCATGGGGCCCCCTACTGACCCCGGGCCCTCGGGCAGTGCCCCAGTTTCCAAATGGTCAGTCCGCCCCTGGTGATCATATGAAGCCATTTATTATCACATAGTTGTTTGGCTCCTTTTTAAATCATAATGATAACAGAAACCACCCAAATGGACCTGATCAAAAGTTTACATACCCTGTAATATTTAGCCTTGGTACAGACACACACGGGTTAAAATGGCAATTAAGCCTTGGTTCACATTGAGCCCTGGTTCACACTGATGCAGTGCAGCACATCGCATGTGTTTTGCACAGGAACTGCACCGCATTCCTGTGCAAATGACATGCGATGTTTGTGTGGTGCGATTTGAGCCATACATTTTGTTTTGCAGTCTGTTTTGAGGTGTCGTTAAATTAACATTGACGCCCGTACCAGATCGCATGGACGCCATGCAATGGCAATGCTGATGCAATGTGGGAACCAGGGCTGATGTAGTGTGGGAAATACAGCAAATTGTCTGTGTATAAATAGTCAATGAGTTTGCTAGCTCCCATGTGGGTGCACTGAGCAGGCTTGATACTGTATATAATATATATATATAGTATTTTGGGGAGCCAGCTGTATGTAAACGTAAACAGTCTTTATTGTACCCCCTAAAAAACAGCATTCTTTAGCAGACAAACACAGAATAGTCCATAACTCTGTTATAATGGAAATAGGGTTCCTGTCTGCTTCAGGTGCTGCAAAGGCCACAGGAGTTCAGCAAATAGCGTGTCAGTTGCCCGACAGTCCACACTTGCTCATGACTGTGAACCACTCTACCTCACAGAGACCAGCTGTTTCCTGTTCCATTTCTGCACTACCCTGCAGATGGTTCAACCCTTCCAGGACCAAAGTCCCTGTAATCAGGGTTGGAGGCTCTTTCCACTAAAAGGTTTCTCTGAGCCTTTGAATTTTGGGTCCCAAATGAGGACTTACCAAGCCAGAGGCATTGTACGTTAGTCCTCTCCTCTCTAAAGGGACTACCCTGGAACCCCTCACACTGCATGGATGGGAACCCCTGAGTACTCTAAACTGCATACAAGTCCTCCCCCTTAAAGGCACCACAACCCAAATAACAGGGAAATGCATCTCCCTATCAGGATCTATCCCTGATGTCCTGTATAATAGTTATACAATTTAGTTTTTTTAAACATAAAAAAAAAAAGCATTAAAAACAAAATTGACACGGTTACCTCTGAGTTACCTGTGATTTTTAGAAAAAATAGATATGTACATCACTGTGGAATAAATTAGGAATAATCCAAGATCAAGCATCTGCATTCTTTACTTCTTCAGTCAGATTCCCCTTAAACCTCCTATGAGAACCAGGTGTCACCAAGAGAGCAAGATACAGACAGCCATAAAAACATGATAGATGTTCTAACCCTTTTACCCTCTACTAAAATGAGGATGGTTGAGGTCTCTGTCCTCATTGAGGTTACCCAACACTTCTTGTCCCTATGACTTACTGTTACTAGGAAAAATATCTCCCCAGCAGGGATATAGATAGTAATAAAACCCCTAAATTGCCTATTACATTTCCCTTCTCTGTCTAAAACTAAATGAAAAGAAAAACGTTTAGCCTTCCTAAATAAAGAATAGCAACTAGAATCAGTAGACCTTTTGCTTGTGACTAGCTATAGTCTCTTTTCTTGCGATTCTGTGATGTGTAATCCTACCCTTGGTGCCCACATCCTGAGAATATTTGCCTGTATTTTCACAGAGCCAGATTTAGCACCTCTCAGAAAATAAATTCAGAGCAACCCTAGAACTTTAAATAATAGTAAAGTGAGCGATCCTAAAAGTAGCCGCTAAAACACCAAGAGGTACCAATAAAACTCCAAAAAGATCAGAAATGTATAGGGTGTAGCGCTGTATATTAAAAAATTCTAAATAAAACCAATATGTCCACATATAATGATCGCAAATACATAAACGGTCTGGAGTTATTAAGCCCACAGGTACCTGTTATTATCCAGCATATCTGGAGGAATAGGAGCCCCATATCCAGGCTGACCACCTCACTAATCTTAAGGAGGACCTCTGGAACCAGTGTATTTAATTACTTCCCTAACAGCTTGATGACTGCACCATAGGAAAAAGTTCACCAGATTGACCAGTTTACCTTGAGAATTTACATATATGCACATTATCTATGTGCTTCCGGTGAGTACGCACTTTTCACTTTTGGCTGGAGTCACAAGTTCATCTGCTGCATTTTCTTCTGTTTACAGACTTTCTATCCGTTTACATATTCACATGCGTTTATGATCATTATATGTGGACATATTGGTTTGTTTTGAAATTTGTAACACACAGCGCTACACCCTATACATTTCTAACCCTAGAACTTTATCTAACTTGATAGATTGAGTGCCAGATTTAATACTTTTGGTAATATTTAGGTAAGCCAAATCTCCTGAGTTTAACATAGCAAAATTTCATATTCAAATGCATTGTGCCTTAAAGAAAAAGCAAACCATTGGCAAATGGTGACTGAAGAGTCAGAGTGAGATTCTTTAGCTTGAATTAAATGCTGGTTCTGCAATGTTTCTGCTAAATTCTCAGCTTTGCTTGCTGCCATAGCTATTGCAAGAAAATCTAATTCTTCTCCCTGTTGGATTTTCCAATTATGTTATGTAACAGAGAACGCAGCAAATAAACATGACATTCCCTGCTGTAACCCAAGCAATGAGATCCCATAGGGGTAAGAACAGCATGGTGACTTCCAAGTGATGACAATGACCCAGCACTAAAATATATATACTGTATCTTATTTCTTCTTCTTTTTTTTTACTGAGCCCTTTAGTATGCACAGAATGAGCCATATGTAGAAAATTATAATGGTTATAGGATTCCAAGGGAAGTGTCATGATTATATAGCTGCTGTAGGCCGAGTACTTTCATTAAGATCACTGAATGTACAGTATATTATGGTTTTAGTACAAAAATATGTAATTCCTTAGACTGGGTTCACACTAATGCGTTGTGGGACACCACATGTAATTCGCATAGGAATCACACTGCGAATCCTGTGCGAATTACATGCATGTCTGTGCGGTGCAATTTGAGCCATACATTTTGTGTAGGACCCTTTTTGTACCTGCACCTGAATCACATCGCATTGGTGTCTCATCCATGCGTTGCAATTTCTGGCAATCACGTTTTGCGGGTGTCAATAATTTAACATTGACATTCGCACCAGATCATATGAATTTCATGCAATTGCAACGTGATAAACGCACAGGATTGGCAGCATTTCCTTGGAAATGTCTTGGAGGGTTGCAGTGGGTGCCGAGTGGGAGTGAGTACCTGTTAAAACCAGGTACCTGCTTCCCCCAAAAGGTGTCAAATGTGATGGCAAATGGAGGCAGAAAAGCAGAGCTTCCACTTTTGGGTGGAACTCCGCTTTAAGAAATAAAATAAATCAAGTCTGGCTAATTAATAACGGGCCAGACATGCTAGAAATTAATGAAACATTTGTTTTTGAAGATATCCATGCATTGAAGGAAGTTATTTGCTTTCTTTATAGTTTCAAGACAACTGAGAGGAGAGTAGACATTAAGCAGACAGAAGAAAGTTGTTCTAATTGGATGTCATGAGTATGCTGTTTTGTTACTTGAAGGACTGCAAAGGATGTTCTTCATCTGCTTTTGTTTGATTAAGTTGGACGTCTTTCCAGTTAGTTATTCCCTCTCTCTTTCTTCTGCATTTCTGGTTATGGCCATCTTGAACAAGAACAGCTGATTCATGTAGCATTTACTTCCTGGAATTCATCTGCCCCTAAAGTTTTACTAAACCCAGGACCCTGCATTCACTATATCTGGTCTTCCACAGTACACAGAACATGGAAATGCAATTATTTTAGTAAATATAAACTGCTAAATACCTTTTCTCATCAGCAGTATAAAGCAGTCTATTCTATAAAGCAGTGACTTCTTTCAGTGTCTGGCTGAGCACTAGTTAATCATGTAGGAGGAGTTTTCATTCTTCTCTGACTGTCCAATGAGGCTGCATGACCCCTGACCCTCTGTCTGGACAGTGCTGATTGGCCCTGTGCCGATCACATGCACCCTCCCCCAAAAAAAGAAAAACTCTCTAGCAATACACACCAAACTGAGCAACTGCAGAGTGTCTCCTAGGGCTCTGTACTATCAGCAGATGGATTGGGAACTGTGGAAGAAGGGGAGCATCAGAGAAGACAGGATCAAACAGCCTTTTTACATAATGCAGATGATTAACCCTTTAGTTTCCACAGTGAGTATAAAAAGCATGCTTTACTGCACATACAGACTGAATTTACTGTTGTAGGTTTAGTAACACTTTAACTCAGGCATGCAGGCAGAAGGGTGTGCTTAGCTGAGAAAGCCCTTCCTACAGATGAAGACAAAATATGCCCATGAAGTCTTCTAGGATGTATGACTTCATTTTGGCCTAGGCCAGAGACCAGGAAGCAACTGAAGGAATATAAAAAAAAAAAAGATTACACAAGCAGATTAAAAATAGTTAATGTTGATTGAGACAGTTTAGTTCTGCATTAAAACATATATTTTCCTTGCTCCCTTCCTCCAATTACTGCTAGGAGCAAAGACATCCTGTGTAGGTTTCAAGTCCAAATGGAGATTACATGAAGTTAAGGAGAACCTTCCAGCCGTGAGTAGGATCTACTCAAAGCATACAGGTGAAACTCTAAAAATTAGAATATTGTGCAAAAGTTAATTTATTTCAGTAATGCAACGTAAAAGGTGAAACTAATATATGAGATGGACTCATTACATGCAAATCAAGATAGTTCAAGCCGTGATTTGTCATAATTGTGATGATTATGGGTTACAGCTCATGAAAACCCCAAATCCACAATCTCAGAAAATTAGAATATTGTGAAAAGGTGCAATATTCTCGGCTCAAAGTGTCCCACTCTAATCAGCTAATTAAGCCATAACACCTGCAAATGGTTCCTGAGCCTTTAAATGGTCTCTCAGTCTGGTTCAGTAGGAATCACAATCATGGGAAAGACTGCTGATCTGAGAGTTGTGCAGAAAACCATCATTGACACCCTCCATAAGGAGGGAAAGCCTCAAAAGGTAATT